TTTTGTTACAGTCTCACATTAACCTTACAAATAATAATGCATTATATTTCATTCATTTGGTAGTTGCTTTTGTCCAAAGGGACTTATGCATTCAGACTGCATAGTAACAAGAAGCTCTCTGAAACACACAACTAAAAAGAAATATCAGAGAGAATATGTCACTATAGAAAAAGAGCAGTGTAATTTACTTTAGCTGGTTCATTCTCAGTGTCCTGCATGCTGACTCACTGTTGTGGCCTACATTAACACCTGTGCTTTTCTTACTATGACAAGTCAAATATGCGCTTTGATAAAGGCCTATATTTTAATTTCTTGTTTTTGGCTTTAATTTGTGTGTCTGTGTGTGTATTAATGTAGGCAGTCAGATTGTGCATGCGTGTCTGAAAGAGCCAGTTATACCTATTTTATACACAGATTTTCTTTTTTTAGCATTACTTTAAGTAAACAAACATTTAGTCACACCTGCAGGGAACCTGCAGCAGGGAGCCAATAATTGAAACTAGGTTTGGTTTTTTTTTCACCTCCTCTAACTCGATGGAAAGTCTCTTCGCTCCTGAAGCGATGAGGGATTCCAGGAACAAGACTGCCAATGCAGCATAATTCTTTGTCCTGCTTTTCACACAGTGTGAGCTATTCTCACGCTGTATATTATAAACATGCCGCTGGCATATTTAGGAATTCATATAGGCAGGATGTTACCTTGTACATTTTTCCTATTTTTAGTGGGATGTGCTGTTGTTTTCTTTCTGCATCTATGTGGCTTGCTTGTATTGTTGTTTAGTGATCTGTGTTGGTCAGCTCAGCATACTTTAATAAAGTTTGAATAAAACTACTAGCATGGCGATATTTTTATCATACAGAAAGACGGGAATACAAAACCACCATGCAGCCACAGCAGCTGTTTTCTGTAAATCAATATTTTTCCATCTATTTTTCTTTACATTAATGTCTAATAAAATTTTTAAATGGATTTTACAACTATAGAATAATTCATTTTAACCTATATTAACGCAAAAAGTAATCTTTTAGATGCCCCAATTCAAAGACACAGTATGTTGAATTTCTTGGAAGAAACTTCACTTTGAATTCTCAGTAGACTAACCTGGAAACAATTTTCAAAACCTCTGCAAAGGGACAGCATAAACAGAAATCACTTCTGTGGTCCCTGGCTGTGAAACATCAGATATCAAGTTATTTCTTTGCCTTGTGGTCGGACTACTTTTGCAGAAACCTGCCTATGAAAATAGAATGCTAAAAACTCTTACTTTTAACAAATATATGTTTTAATTCAAAACTCAAAACAGCAACTCTTCTTGCCATTGTTTTCAAGTCGATGTAATGGATCTTTGGACAAAATACACACATAAAAAAAAAAAGACGTTTTTGAGATGTGACACTTGGTCATGGTGGCTGGGAATACTAACACATTTTATTTGGGGGCGGGTCATTTTAGACATTTTGATTTATCTGTATATTTTCTGAGGGTTGGGGAGTTTTTGCCCTTTTAGGCCCACCAGAACACCCTTTGGATGTTTTATGTCTCAAAAAGTGAATATTGTAGTCCTCCATTGTGGAACTGAAACCTCATGCAGATTGTTCTTTACAACCCAACCGTCTGTTGGTGTGCACCGATGGAAATGTGTTCATCATATCATGCTCATCAAATAAACTCTTAGAGATTTTTGAACCTTGACACCTTCTACACCAAGATATTCTACAGTTTTACTTTAGAGCTATTGTAGCAGCTTGTCTTTGCTTTGTTCTGTAGTAATAAGAAATAGCATTCAACATTTTTGTTTCCCCAAAAGATGCTTTTGTGAATCTGTCATCACTGGGTCAGTACACAGACCTTGTCGTCTTTAGATAGAAAATTAAAAGAGAAATGACTATTAAAAGTGGGAACAAAAGCACCATCTAACCTAATAACCGCTCCTTTACAAAAGGTCGCTCCATTTGGAGTTATGGACAAACACTGGTTTGCTCTTTGATTTTCATGTTCCACCTCTGGGAGAAAACATTAAAGGATGAAAGGCCTCACTATCTCCACTGGATCAGTGGATCTGCCCAGGGCCTCGCAACAACAGCCATTACCCCAACGCTGCAACCGTTGCCTCCTGTTTTGCAGCATGTCCTATTTACTTATTTATTCGTCCCTCCTCCACCCACGACTTACTTCTTATCTCGCCCATTAAAATTAATCCTCATCTAAAAATATCTACTCTTGGTCGTCAGAGAGGATGTAATCGAGGAGGAGATGGCCTCTCTGAATCTCCCTCCCTCCTTCTGTCTCACTGTCACTGACAAGTACTCAAGTATCTGTTGAGAAAGTGCTCTCACTTCAACTTCTGAGGTTGAAAAATTACAAACACAATCTGTGTTTGTAAAACTGAGTTCTTAATCACACATTGCAATACTTCGCTGCCTACTGAGGCCTGATTGGAATTGCATGTCTGCCTTAATGTTTGTTGTTTGGAGAAGGACTGTGTTTGTTGACTGTTGCTAACTGTTGAAGCCATATGAATGGAGTAATTTAGCTCTATAGTGAGTTGGAAAAATGACTAAAAGCAGGCAAGCAAAACATGTTATTAGGTAAAGAAAGCTTAGACGAGACATTTAAGAAGGGAAAGTGTGTTCAAGTGATGTTTTAGAAAGTCACATTTGAAGTGTTGGAAAATAAATGGAGAGAGAGTGAATGGCATAAAAACGAGATAAAATAAAACATACGACATAAAATGTTACATATTCTACAAGCTCTTATCTTAATTGGTAAATTGGTTGATGGCGAGCTGCTGGTGTGCGTCATTCTCGGCCTTAAAGTTTTATACTGATACTAACACACTGAGGCAATGCAATCACGACCTGCGAGGTTGTTCAGGTTGGATAATAACTGTCCCACCTCTGTGTGTGTGTGTGTATGTGTGTGTGACCTTGTGATTATGCCCTAGTGTGATACTTTGGCCCGGCTGATTACCTGTCAGCAGGTTTTGTGCATCTGACACAAACATACGCACACACGCACACACACACACACACACACACACACACACACACACACACACACACACACACAAATCATCACCCAGCAACAGACAATACCCACTGGGCAGGTCACACTGTTGCAGGAGGCATATTGCTGTTTAAAAGGAGGACACACACACACAAATAAATGGGGTCCATGCAGGCTCTGGAACATAGATTGTCTATTAAGGAGTGTATTAGGAGAACCCAGGGGTCCGACATTGAGACAGTTTGTGTGCCATTAGAGCGGGATTTTATGTTGTTGTCTGGTGTCCACTGATACTGAGTGAGAGCACACACACACACACACACACACACACACACACACACACACACACACACACACAGACACAAACATTCATCATTCAATAATGAACCCTCTAACATGGGAGAATTATGCCAGCAGGAGGCACATTTGGAGAAACTACTGATTCTGAGTCTTGTCAGTTTCCTGCTCCATGTCTAAGTGAAAATAATGTTTTGGGTTTTTTTTTTTTTTTTTTTTTTTTTTACAGACAACCAGTGATCAAACAGTTCAGTGATTTGTCTCTTTGGACTGCATCTTTCTGGGACTGAAAACTGGTTTAAAAGAGCTCTATGACCCACACGAATATTCATCTCTCATGATTGATTTCTATTTTGGTCCTCTTCATCTGCAACTTCATATCTCAGCATGTGTGCATGTGTGACTTGCTTGTCCCAGCAGTGCTGGATTTGTGATGTGATGAGCTCAGTAAATAATGTTTTTCCCCTCTGAAATTAAAAGCAAGATTTTGGTAGCACATGTATGAGTTCATTAACACAGTCAACCACAAAATATTGGCTGCTCATGGTGTGCATAGCAATGTCACAGACTTTTATTAGTTTAGCAGCAGGGTGGCATAGTTAGCAGGGAGAGTGTGCTTAACCTACAGGACCTGGATGAGGTCTCCTCGACTGTTTGATTTTGTTTGGTTGGTGGATAGTGCCCAGTTATTTTTGTGGCATCTCCTCAGTTGAGGTTCCAATCGAGCTGCACCAATACTAAAACACTGCAGACCACATATTGGTCAGAAAGAATTGTCACTAGAATGATGTAGATGTCCTGCACAGTGTGAATTGCGACCTCAATTTTTTTTATTCACTCAACCCAGATTTAAAAAAATGTCAGCTTGCATAACCACGCTCTGGTCAGTTGGCAAAGTGCAGACATTCATCTGTTTGGTTGCCGATAAAAGTATTTCAAAAGGAAAGGATATCCTAATTTTTTTATGTGTCACATCAAACATGATACCATGGCAGTTTCCCCTGGCATCACTATGACAATCAGCAAAGACTCCCGCCTACACTGAGGGGGTACCAGATGACCAGAAAATAAAACTGAGAAGCATCTGGTACCCAGAGCTCCAGACTAACTTTTTCAACATTGTCAAAAAAATATATGTTAACAGTTTTCGCCGCCCTCACCTTTCCCTGTTAAATGGTGCTCTGATACACTGAAATGAGTGGACCCAGTGTTTATCTCAGTAAGCTTTATTGTCTCTGTTAGCTGTAAACACACTGCAGGACTCTGCTGCCCACCGACTGCCAACTAGCTCTCCTCCTGCTGATTTCAACACAGATTTGTTGTTCACGATGTAGCATTATCAGGGAGATTTAGCTAGCTAGTAGCAAATACTTGGATGGACTGTTTCAGTTAAATGACTGACTGACTAATAAAAGTTAACAAATTTTGACCAGTAGAGCTTTAAAGAAAGATGTTCACTTTGATTTTAAATATCAGACCCTGACACTTGACCTGATCAAAAATTTGAACTAGCAGAAACTTTTTATTGTTATTATTATTATTATTATTATTACTATTATTACTGTAGCCTGAAAATGTCAGGATTCATTTTCATCTTCAATATCCACCCAAAGGAAAATATTTTGATAAGCAGCAGCATTAAATAAGTTGCATATAAACACCACACTGTATACAATCATGCACTAATGACCAGCCCTCTATCTCATGTAATCTTTAATTGCTTTTGTTCACAGTGTTACAGCGTTAATTCAGAGCTGTCCTCGTGAAGAATAAGGTGAGACTCAGGAAATGGAAGACGTTTCACATCACTGAGGTGACAGCAGGAGGTCATGTTAAACTTGGTGCCCCTGGAGTTGCCTGGAGGACCTTTAGAAGTCAGGGCGATCTTTCTTCAGGTTCTTGTAGTCTGTGTTGACGGCCACAAACTGTAGAAGGCAGGAGGAATACATTTAAATCTGTTTTGCTTAAATTAAATTCATCAGCGCTGTCTTTAGGAGAACACATGGAAAACAAAGAGGCAACGGTGAATTTTATTTTTTTCCTCTCTAGTGCAAATATAGACACATATACATGCACACACTCACCCAAACATTATTACACTCATTTACCATGGTACTTTCTATCTACCTTATTTTAATTTTTTTTGTCTTGCTGAATATCTCATGGATGATGTAGTATATATTGTGTGACTGCGTATATGTGATCTGCATACATCACAGCCCTCCAGCCATGAGAAACTCACATTTTTGCACTGGCAGTGATTATTTTCTCCGCATGTATTTTCCTTGATTGGTCTGCCATTAAAACTCTCGCCTCCCCTCTTCTCCCTCCCATCTTTCCCGCTTCCCCCTCCTCATTACGATCATTGTTTGGACTTCAGTGGAATTTCGATGCGAGACCTTTGCCTTGCTATTGAGAATTAAACATGCCGTGTCCTGACCTTTTGTCTGCAGCGACTTTCATTCCACTGGCAAGCAACGCAGCCTTGAAACCCTCAGAAAATGCTTTTTTTCTCTGGAAAACACATCGTCCAGATCTCTTCTTCTGGGACTTGTCAGTTGGTTGTTTTTCTGCTCTATTTTGAGTCAGCGTTGTTAATATTTTCATTAGTTTGTCTGTGGCTCTGGCCTTGTTTAAGAGGTAGGGGAAATTATTACCAACCACTAAAAGCCCCTGCTTCCATCTGCCTTAATTTGTTTATGAAAGACACTGTTGAAATTTTTTTGCCTGCATTGGTTAGTCCAAATGTATTTTGGTAGGTTTTAGGACAGATGATGATTGTGAGATTTTCAGTAAAACGATGCTATTCGTGTCTAGATTAGTTTTCTGGCAGACGTGATTGTCGTGAGCAGGCATGTGGCCCTTCAGTGTGTGAGGGGGGAGTAGTCACCTTGTACTGGTAGGTTGGGTCGAGATTGTTCCAGGGCTCTGGGTTGTTCTTCTTGTCCCAGAGGCTGCAAATGTGGAAAGATTACAGAATAAAGAGAGGAAGAAGAAGAATGAGAAAAGACAGGACATGAGAAGGAGAAAGGCACAGATGACCGAGGTAAAGATCAACACAAAGAGGAATGCAGGCTTGAGAAGAGAAACCAACTGAGAGGTAAACAAATAGGAGGAAAAAGAACACAGAAGGACAGAGACAAAAGGAGATAAATATTTAGAAGTTGTGGAAAAAGACAGAGGTGATTATGAGATGAGCTGAACTCAGCCCAATGACTTGGCTGTGCTCCTCTATTCATTAACCAAAGTCTGGATTTCACAGCGCTCCACTGTGACTGTCCATCCCTCCTCCTCCTCTGGCAGCGCGTCACGCCGCCAAAGCACAAACAAAGAGACTGAGAGACTGATGGCAGAGCGGGTATGTCTCCCCCTCACTCTCCATTACCACAAACACTAGACAGTCTCTGAGAGAGAGAGAGAGAGAGAGAGAAAGGAAGAGAGGAAGCCACTGACCACAGCACTCATCACCAGCTGGTGATGAGGTCAGGCGTTATGGCTGACCCTCAGAACAAGTGGTTCTGTGTGGCCCAAAATAGGACACTGCACATTTACTGCATGCGTGTGTGCAGTCACTGAGTTCAGTGTGGTTGTTGCAGCTTCTGAGGAAATGACAGGTTCATACACCCTGCTGCGTTTGTTATAAACTTTAATTCAACATAAAAAAGCTTTGTTTTGATACTGCAATCAAATTCAGGACAATCACACAGATGGCATTAGGGTTAGCAAATCTGATATCTGAATCCAGTATCCGCTTATGAATCCAAATCGCTTATCAAATTAAATAAGGTTTCACTGTTGATGTAATAGGACCCAATATTTAAATCACTGGGCTGCAGATTTTAACACATCAGAGATATATTTATCAGATATGATGGTCAATAAGTAATGCCAGTGATGTTTTCAAGGTACTATACATAGTTTGTTTATTACAGAACAGTAACATGTTCATTATTGTAACTGTAAAATGTTGTGTACACTATAATAAGTCCACAAGTCTGGTCACATTTGTCATAAGAGACAGACAGCAAGCTAAAAATGAGAATCCTGCTATCTGAATGTTTTGTGCATTGCTAATAAGAACAGAGATTAATTTGCTTTTAATTTGGTTTTATTGCCAATCTGAATCCAGATCCAACAGGGGAACGGAATGGAAGTACCCATCTCTATGTATCCAACGTTTGGATTCAGCTGAAAATAACAGAACATTCTGTAAAATGTCACAGTATCAAAAGCAAGGTGGAAGAGTAGTACAATGGTTACAAGTTTAGATGGACAACACTCTTACGTGACATGAGGTCCTCTTGCCAGACGGATCAGATAGAAGGTGGCCCCTGTCATGCCCAGAGTCAGGAAGAGAAATTGAGGGATTAACTGAGGAGAGGAGAGGAGAGGAGAGGAGAGGAGAGGAGAGGAGAGGAGAAGAATGCATTAGTCCAAGACCACAGAGACATATGAAGGTAAACAAACAGTGGTTGGCTGTGATATGTACCATAAACATACACCTGTGTGAAATACACACACACACATACACACATACACGGGTAGTTGTTATTCCTGTTTTTCCTCTCCCTGCCCTCCTCCATATGCATGAGGCCCAGGCCATGTGTGAGGCAGCTCACTGTCAGCCTGGGTTGAATGGGCAAGGACGCGGTGGAAGAGAGAGCTGGCGCATCTCTGTGTGTGCCAGCCTCTCCTCCTCAACACTATACCTGTCAGACTGAGCGACAGCATCTCACACACACACACACACACACACACACATACACATACACATACACAGAGAGAGAGAGATAGACACGTAAACTCATGCCTATACTCGCACACACGCACATAAATGAGCTAACACACAGTCTGAGCGCTCATACACTCTTTTATTTGATGTTCTGAGCGGTGATGATGACAGGAATTAAAATAGAAAAGCACATTAGGGGGACGGGGATAATGTGATATGTCATCTTAAACACCCAAAGCTTTGCTTTGTCAGTCCTCTCACCGCACTGCATCTATTCGTCAACACTACACTGCCATACATTTCCCGTCTACTTCGCTATGTGATATTGTATGTATGAGACAGAGAGAGAGAGAGAGGGAGAGGAAGTCACACCACTGGTGAACAGCTGTTCTCAGCCCACACAGATCTAGTCAAGCTGTAGAGAGATGACAGTTTGATCAGGTTGAACTGAAGGATGTCTCTACTCAGCTGTATCTAGACATCTGTCTTCTGTCTGATTGTGTTGCCACTTGCCTTGTTGTTGATTAGTAAATTGTCTGGTGATAAAACCTTGATATTCACTACCTTTAAAGCTGTGGAAGAGAGAGATAGAGAAAATATCCCTCCCTCGGCTACATATTCAACCCACTCGGCACATAACTGTGTAAAAACTCCAACTCAGCTGAGCAAATGCACTCAATCAGGGCTGCACCTGGTTTTATGTTAAATAATATTTAACTGAAATAACCTTTTTCAATTATATTTTTTTTAAGAAAGCAGCCTTCTGTGTACCTTTTTTGCATAGTCATATCAGCCAAAGCATTGCATAGAAAAGGTCTATTTTAATTCCAGCTCAAAATTCCATTTTATTGGCCGCCATATTGCCCAAAAATTCTTATATATATATATATATATATATATATTGCCTAATCAAATTGTTGTTTGGTCTACATATTGTAACAAATTAATTACAGTTTCTCAGATGCCAAAATTAACATGCTCAAACCACTCAAAGTGTTTGGTGTTTTTTATTTATAAATGACTTAAATTAATTGATTTGCAGATATGTAGGCCTACTCTTCAACTTTTTTCAACAGTTATCTTGAACTGATCAATGAACCGACTGTTTACTGTATTTCAGCACCAGTCTACTGCGTTAGTCATGTACTGTACAATGTTGGCACCCAGCATGGGTTTTATTTTTGCTGAATTCTCCTTCAAGTATAGGTTCACTATGAACTTCTCCAAGTTAACCATGGAAAAAAAAAAGTTCATAGTACTCATCAAGTTTTCATTGCATACACATACACGAACATGCAAACACACACAAGTGCACACTGCACACATATTGTATGCTGACTGCAGGCGCTCAAGTTCGATCACTGAAGTAAACACAAACAGCCACACAAACACACACAAACAAACACATAGAAGCAGGTCAGCTTTGATCGCACATTCACACTCTCACTCACACACACACACACACACACACACACACACACACACACACACACACACACACACACACCAACGAATAATCAAGACAGGCCTGTGGGTTTGGAGCTGTCCACTCCCCGGTGCTGATATCTTTATATCGTGTCACACAAGTGAGTGTTTCACCTTTTTACCGTTCAGCCTGACCGATATAGGAAGTGTTTTATACTCGCTTGGGTTCGATACTGTTGCTGCCCTTATTACTTTTCTGGTGCACTGCCAAGCCAGCCCTGTCAATCCACGAATTTGGGTCACCCTCAGCATAGCTCTGAGGCAACAGAAAAAAACAAGCACAGACAGCTTCTGTGTGTTTCTTTTACTTTTCTGTCTTCACTTTATTATGATAGTAATAAAACAAATTAACTTGACATTGATACGAAGTAGTTATGTGCAGTCATAGCACTTTGAATGATTCAGATGATCAAACCAGTAATTATAATTGTTTTAATGTTATATGTAACAAAATAATCAAAGTTCCACTTACTAGCTTTTAGAGCGTTCAGCTCCATCTCAAGGTCTTAATTCAGTTAATGGTGCTGGCCAATGTGTTGTTATATGAATACGTTTTGTCTATAAAATGTCAAAAAATGGTTTAAAAGTTCCCAGAGCCCATGATGACATATTATAAGTTCATGTTTTGTATGCCCAGCATTTTTATTTGCAAAGATAGATAAGTCTTCCCTGCCATTCCGTGAATTCAAAACTATAGAATTTGAAAAACCTGTTCCCAATTTCCCAGAAAAGCTATACTCAAAAGCAAAAAAAGCAATTGAACCGTAAAGTCTGTTTTTAGGCCTTGTGTATATATCACTATATGACAAAAGACCTTGATGTTAGAAATAATCACAGCTCAATAGACAAAGGAATATAATGCAACCTACCCCTGGATGTTTCTTCGCGTGTTGAAACATGATCTTAATCATCTTTATTATTCTTCCAACAGAAGAGGCAAATAAGAACTAAATCATATAAAAGGAAAAACCTGACAGCTAAAGTCTGACGATTGTATCCATGTGAATAAACGCCTCTTTGCAGATTTATAGGAAGAGCTGTTTGTTAGCTGAAGTACAATATGTTGGCCAGTACAGTGAAACCTGTTGCCAATCTCTCCCCTCCACTCTGTCCCTCACCCTCCCTTCCCATTGGATGAATGAGAGGGTCAGAGGGGTGAGGTAGAGGGAGGGATGGAGGGGGGTGAGACAGCGCTAATCCTCATAATCACGTCTGTTGAGGACACTGTATGTTTCCACTGAGGCTCATTGGTACTCGGTGTCCTAAAGTGTTTTTTGTTATACAACAACACAACTGCAGGTACTGAAACTCACTGACACAACAGATACACAATGACATTTTCCAAACATTTCCTCATGACAGTGCAGCAGTAGTGCAGCCTGCTCCCATAATGTCTTCATTTTTAGACCTGAAACCCAGAGTGCACCCATTGTGTTGGATAGTTTAATGTTATATTGTCGTTTTTAAAATGACGAGCCACTGTTTTTATGGATAGTCATCACTCTAAAACTTTAAAATCACCCCCCAGCGGCCATTAAATGATGCTGCTTTTGCAGCCCGTCTTGTTCAGTGTAAAGAGGAGAAAAGTAATAGCAGCGTCCAACATGTCCCTCGGGTCGAGACCTTTGTACTAGGCATGATAATGGCAATTGATTAGTGAGTGATGCAGCGCCTGCAGACCTTTCAGGTTCCTGAACAGCACTTTGAAACCTAATCTAATTAACACCAAAATGCTACTCTGTGCAAAATCCACAGGTCATTATTATTCCTTACTTAAGGTTGATATTGTGTTCCCATCATTTATCATGCTTAAGTGGATGAGGTGAAGCGGTTGCATTTTTAGCCACACTAGTGTTGTGGCTCTAGGGATGGCATTGTCACATGTCTGTAAGTCCATCTGTCCACTACTTTGGACTGAGATATCTCAACAACTACTGGACATATTTAAAGGAAGTTTAAGGTCTCCAGAGGATGAATCCCTCATACTTCGGTGATCTCCTGAATTTTCCTCTAGCCCCACCATGAGTTTGACATTTTTTGTTTTTAGTTAAATGTCTTGACAACTATTGGACATATTGCCATGGAATTTGGCACAGACATTCGTGGTGCCCAGAGGATAAATCCTAATAACCTTTGGCGATATCCCAACTTCTCATCTAGCACCAGCAGGTCAAACGTTACACTTATCAGAATGAGCAGAAAAATCATTGGTCTGGACCTGGAGCTAATAAGCAGCATCTACAGCAGACAAGCTACAATGAAAGGACTACAAATAGCCTCAGACTCCACACACACACTACAACACCAATGCAGCCACTTACCTTCAGGCCGCAGATACAGGTCACTTCCATTCAAGACTGAGCAGACTGTGTCGAGCTTTGTGCCTACCTCTATCAGACTCATTAAAGCCTGAGCTGGTTTGGGCACTTGACCCAATCTATTATTTATTTCTGGACATTCTTAGGAAGACTTCAACTTAACCGGTGGCATTTTAAAACTGGCATTTTAAACATTAAACCCTTCATTTTTATCTATCAATGTTATTAAGTGAATTTGTCCAGTACTTTGTTTTATGATCAAATACTTGCAAACTGAAATTAAAAAAAACAAGACCCTGTAGTAACTTTAGTATTTGGCCAGTTAACTCCAGTATCTCCAGTTGCTAGTAGCTAGTGGGATAAAACCCATGTGTAGAGGCTTGGTTGCACAGCTTGCATTATTTGGGATGTGCATCCATTTCCCCAACTTTTAACTTCTGTTTACTGTATGAAAGTTGTCCAATATTTGCGAGTGATTAATTCTGCGGCACCTTTGTCCTGCAAATCTTGTGAGTCACCACAAGTTGTTTTACCTCATGTTTGTCAGTGGAAAGAATGCTATTTCTGTATACCACATGACAAAGGTAATGGGTGCAATTTTTCACTCAGCAAGGATAGACAGATTAATGAAGGTTGATGGGGAAGGAAAGGTGTTCAACAAAAGAGGATGGGTGGAGGGTTGGAGGGGGATGAGATGCATTAAGATGAAAGAGGAGAGAGAAAACGTCAATACATGCTCCCCCTCCCTCATCAGTCTCTTCCATTGTTCCCCCTAACATATCACAGGCCGAGTGTTTTAAAAGTAGAGGCAGAGTGCAATATCCAAATCTGTTTCCCACTGGTGATGTAGCTAAGAGGAAGAGTGGCTTTAATGGGATTTCCCCTAAGAACGGATACAGTAGGCTGGGCCTGTCAAGTCCTGACCCTGCCCCCAACCAAAGAAGACGTAAAGTCACACAGTTTGTTTTTAAGTGTACGTGCAGTGTACCCTTGGTTAGAGAATATTTGAGTGCTTAAGAACATTTGGTGCATCTAGAGTTGACTTATATTTTCTCTTAACAGAAAATTAAGAGACTGTTGCTGCATGAGGCCCAATGATTCCTATATTCAGGTGATTATACACTAATGAAAACATACCTCTGAATATTATATTCCATTTCTACCGATAGATCCTCGGAAATGTTACACACTGGACCTTTTAAAAGGCGTTAATATGTCAGCGCTGTGTTCACAGCTCATTTTAACTGACCTCAAGTGACCAAAAGTAGTTATTTAGAAGAAGAAGTAGAACATTTAGAAACTTGCTTATTTTTTTACCTCTATTTCTTTTTTATATACACACCTCACACAATGAGGTCATGTAACCTGCTGTATACCAGAAATCCACCACATGACCCAACACACACACACTCAGAACTCCTATACATTTTCAACAAGTTTTCTTTCATTCCTTAGAGAGTTCTGAGTAGTCGTGAGTCTCCTCTGTGACATGACTTTGAAACATCAGGAATACAGCAGCGCTATGCAAACTCTGTCTGCCCCACTGTACAAATAAGTGGTGACCCCAACATGTGATCCCACCAGGATAGCTTCCGAATAAGACATGGCTGTGTCACTGGTTTCTCTGTTTGCGATTGTGACTCATGACCGTACAGAGATTGACTGTGACTGTGTTTACTTTGAATTTGAACCTCCTATTTCCACTTCAGATATTGGACACAGGAATATTAAATTTGAGGCCCCCCCCCAAAAAAGGTGAGGTGGTCCCCCAACCCTGATGCATGGAATTTACACTGAATACACACATAAAAAAAACATTAAAACCTTGTTTTTTAATTTACTGAATATAAATAAAAACAACTCCTTTCGTGATTTGGAATCAGTAAGAGACAGTAGCTTTTTACCTGCACCTACTTCAAGAAAAGAGTAAATGTTCCTAATATTCTGTGTATTAAGTGCAGTAGCATCACCTCCTTATATCTTCTTTCACTACAGGAACATGACTCACCGTAACAGATAATATCAGGTGCAAGATGTCCCAAAGCTGCAATTAATTTCAGGACAGACTAACAAAGTTTGGTTGTGAAGATCTTGCACTTGTTAGTCTGTATTAGTATTCTGTGTTTAGACAAAACAGTTTGAGTGGATTTCTTGTTTCATTTGTTAAGACAAACCCTGTTACCTGCATGATCTGTAGGTGTCAGTCTAACTCAATAAACCTTACATTGTGTGTATGTTAACAAAATGCAACTGAACATATTTCCCAAATGCAAAGCTTTGGAATGAATATTGTTTGATCTTGTTTTTCATTGTTTATTCAGGTTCAGCATGAATAGCCTTCCACAGAGCTACATACCAATCTCAACATCTGTGGCTACATACTGTACTGTACTGGATACAGAATAGTTTGAATTGCCATATGGAACAACAATATGATGAATACCATGTTGAGAGCTTTGCAATATCCTCCAGTGGATTTACCTTAGAAACATAGACTGCATGGTTTATATAAACAGAGCAGAACCTTGTGTACAACTGCAGCCAGTGTACAGAGCGAGGACCTTTTTAAAGACCACCAGGCCAGTGGAGTGGTATATGATGGGGTGAGGAGGAGGAGGAGGAGGAAGAGAACTAGGTTTAATTACAATCCAACTAATAATAGTCAGCTGATGTTACTGTGTCACAGATACATCGGTTTTCATATGTCAGCTGTTAAATAGTAAGATATGTTTGAGGATACATAATAATATAGTAATAATACCACAAACACTTAATATTTGTGTTTTTCCCAACTGTAAAATGTCTCACATCTTGGTCACAGTTCTTTAACAACCAAATTTAAAGGATCCTTATTAAACATTTTTGTTTATCTTCTGTAATTATGTAAAAAAAAGAAATCAAAAGAAAATTAATTGACAACTATTTTGATAATTGTTTTAATCCATTTTCAAGCCAAAATGTCAAACATTTTCTGGTTCCAGCTTCTCAAACTTAAGGATTTGTTGCTTTTTTTCTTATATATGACTGTAACCTGAATATTAATGGGGTTTTGGGCAGCTTGTTGCATAAAACAGGCAGTCTGAGTTGCATCTTGAGCTCTGGTTTTGGTGTTATAATGGTTATTCTTCACAATCTTCTGACATGTTATACTTAAAAAACAATTAATGCGTTGATTGAGAACATAATTAGTAGGTTAATTGATAATAAAAGAAATGTTCATTGCAGCCTTCATGCAATAACTATGATATTTTACTGTGGGATAAAATACCAATATGTGTTATCTACCCTAAAAATCAGACTTTACTTGTAATGACCTTCTTCAGAGAACACATCATGTGCGTAGGCCTACTTACCAGAAACAGATCAGAAGCAATAATAGTAGCTGTAGTAGTAACAGCATGAGCTTTGCTGCTTTAACCACACAGAGAGATGAACTTATTTTTTCTTTTTAGAGAAGTCTTGGCCAAGAATTACAGAGCAGAAGATGAGTGGAGTGTACGACATCTGTGGGGAATTATCCATCTGCGAGTGATCTCATTTCAATTCCTAACCATCAGTGCACATGTAAGAAAGTCATAGTTAGACTGTGGCCATCGTTATTTACGATTTCTCAGAGCAGAAGGTGGAAGAGAGTTCTTCTTAAAGCAGAAGGCATTTCAGCTAATAGCCATGTGTGAATGTAAGCATGAAAAACAACACAATCTGTTTCCAAGTTTTTCAAGAGGCATGAAAAATACCAGTCACCTCCACCGACAAATTGTTTTAGTACACACACAC